ATGAGGGCAGGAAGCTCCTGAAGAGACACTGCAGGACACCCTGTGAGCAGCAGAGTGAGAGAGTGGCAGAGAGAGCCTGAAAGAGAGAGATGAGAAACAGGAGGCAGGGAGAGAGCAGATGTTAACACGAGGTGAGGGTACTGTTCCTTCTCCATGGCTCGGGGAGCTCAGCTCTCCCTGCACATTCTCTCCTACCAGGCTGGGGAGATGAGGGCCCCAAGGCAGGGGAATCTCAGGCAAGAGCAACAGGGGGATCAGATGACTGGTTGAAGAGTTTCAGGGGGTCCCAGAATTTTCTGCCTGTGAATGAAATAGCAGCAGAATCTGACAGGGGAAGAAGAGTTCCTAATTTTCCTCCCTTACTCTGAAGTAGAGGTAAGAGAAGTGATTATTCCCCTTTATTCAGCAATGGTGAGACCACATCTGGAGTAATACAACCAATTCAGTGCCTCCATTACAGAAAGGATGTGGATGCATTGGAGAGGGTCCAGGGGAGGGCAACAAAAATGATTAGGGGGCTGGAGCACATGACCTTTGAGGAGAAGCTGAGGGATATGGGCTTGTTTGGTCTGCAGAAGCGAAGAGTGAGGGGGGATTTGATAGCAGCCTTCAACTTTCTGAAGGGAGGTTCCAAAGAGGATGGCGAGAGGCTGTTCTCAGTAGTGACAGATGGCAGAACAAGGAGCAATGGGCTCAAGTTACAGTGGGGGAGGTCTAGGTTGGATATTAGGAAAAACTATTTCCCTAGGAGGGTGGTGAAGCACTGGGATGGGTTCCTAGGTAAGTGATGGAATTTCCATCCCTAGAGGTTTTTAAGTCTCAGCTTGACAAAGCCCTGGCTGGGTTGATTTAGTTGGGGTTGGTCCTGCTTTGGGCAGGGGGCCAGACTTGATGACCTCCTGAGGTCTCTTCCAGCTCTATGGTTCTATAAATAGGATGTAACCCCCAACGAGCATGTCATACCCTATAGGAAGAGGGGGTCCCAGGAGCCACACTGACTCCTAATCCCCACCCAGAGAGGGAAAGACTTTACCAACCTTTCTAGCTCCAGCCCTCTCATGCAATGTCTCATTGTTGCAGTGTGCAAGCTATTGCACAGGGCATTTCACATCTGCGGGGGGACAGAAACCCTCAGGCCTATCCACATTTCTCTGCTTTCACATCAGTACAGATTCTCCATCTGGGTAGAGATTGGGTTCGGGTGTAATGGACAGGAGGAGTGCTAACTAAGGGGTTAAACTCAGGTAGCCAGAAGAACCAATGGGCTTGCAGTGCTGAAATCTGAATTGTATAACATTTCCTGTCTGTTTTCTTTGTGTGGGAGAGTTAAATCAGGAGTTGAGAGATACAGAATGATTTAAACCCAGGCAGGACTATCATGCCTCCAGGGAATTCAGGCATAGAAATGGACTGAACCAAAGAAAGATTGGAAGTAAGTCAAGGCAAAAGTGAATCTAGTCATGAGCAGGGTATGCTGAAATCTGAATTGTATAACATTTCCTGTCTGTTTTCTTTGTGTGGGAGAGTTAAATCAGGAGTTGAGAGATACAGAATGATTTAAACCCAGGCAGGACTATCATGCCTCCAGGGAATTCAGGCATAGAAATGGACTGAACCAAAGAAAGATTGGAAGTAAGTCAAGGCAAAAGTGAATCTAGTCATGAGCAGGGTATTTTC